AATCAGGGGTCTACAGGGAAGCATGGCAGCAAAGAAGTGTCTTTTGCTACCGCCATACCCCGCCAAACACATTCACCCAGCAGCAAAAAAAAAAAATACACATCTTTTGCTCCTTCGCTGCTGGGCAATTCAGGTGGGGGTAGCATGGCAGCAAATGATGCATGTCTTTTGCTGCCGCTGTGCCCAGCAGACCAGCTGACTGTAGCCAGGCAGGTGGAAATGTTAGGCACCAAGGGTGGTCCCTGAACATCTCCAGGCAAAATGCGACTGGTGCCCAGCTAATTTCGAACGCTGGCGGTTAGATTGAGGTTTTGTCCCACATCTCCCCAAAAGTTAGCTTTTTATAAAAGCTGGATGATTGCTGGAAGACACCCTTGTATAGATCCAGGAATATACCTGGGAGATGAGTGTTGCTTTTTCTTAAAACAAATCCATAGCTAAGCAAAATCTTCAGTAGAATTCACATTAGCTACACCCAAACCAAAATTAATTTAATCTTGATCCTGCTGCAGAACCCTTTCCTCACTGTCTTTAGTTTGGAGAAGCATTAAGCTCTCAGTCTATAACCACAGGTGATGGTTATAGAGGTGCTGGTAATTCTCCAGTAGTTTGACCTTACCCATAAAGGTGCACTGTCCCATTGTCTCCTAAGACAGTCCAAACATATGGATTTTAAACAATTGATTAACACCCAGAGAGCTGTATGTGGCATTTGTATTCCACTGTTCTTGACAGACTTCCTTGTGTTTCCCAAAAGGCCAGTCATGAGGTTTAAGAGACCTCCAGAACTGCATGTGATGTGGGGAGGTGTACAGCTGAGGGCTGTGTGGAAATGAGCCTCTGTCAAAGTGCATTCCACACATGCACACGAGTCTTCAGATCACTACTGTTTACTATACATAATTCCCAGCTTAATGCAGTTTATTCAAGTAAAGTACATAGAAAAACAATTGGGACTTTGGGAATTCTAGATTTAAAACAAGAATATAAGCCAATTAAAAACTTAAGTGCAGGCTAGATATTTATGGTTGGGGTTCAAGTTGTGCAGGTATGAATTTTTCCTTCCGTTGTTAAGCTTACTACATTTTCCCTTGTTTTCTTAAATGTTGAATTCACTCACACTAACCTAGCTGTACAGTTAAGCATTTCATTCAACTGTGGAGAATAAAATAAACATTGCAGCTGAAACCCCCCCCCCTTGGTCCTGTGTGAGCACTTCCTCTCTTTTGCCTTTTGTAGGAACATATGAATAACCTTGCTGGATCAAACCAAACACACATGGTTGTGCTCTCCAGTAACTGGTAAGGGACACTTTCTCAAATTGGCAGAAGCTGAAGGAGAAAGAGTATGCAGGAGACAGTGTGAGCACCTCTTAACACTTATTTCCAAGACTGTCTTAATCTCTTTCTAGGGCCCAACAGCTGAATGAGATAATATTTGATACAAGCCTTTTCCTTCCATAACGCAAATGTTTCAACCAAACATCTTTCTTTGAACAAAGCTCAATCATTTAATATAAAAGTCTGATTTGCTTTTTGTGACGCCCCTTTTGAATGGCTTTGCATCAGAGAGCCAGGTATGTTCTGCTTTAAAAAACAAACAAACCAATCTCATGAGTGCAGGTGTTTTTGTAGAGTCTTAGTTGGCTGTAAAACAATCCGGCTGTTAAGAATGTATTAGTATCTATGGTTTAAATTGTTGTTTTTCATGTCAAAGAAAAGTAAATGACGTTTTTTGAATTCTACAAGGGGAATTAGGAAAACAAAGATGTTACGTTCCAGCAACTCATCAGATTTTGCTGTCACACAATTGAAATTAAAGACATACCCAGTGGCAGTTAGTGCCTCCAGAAAGTGGAAGCCCACCGAGTCCATCCTCGTCCAGCCGTTCCCTTACAGCCAACAAAACTCCACCTCCCTGACCCTTCCATTTCCATCCATGATAACTAAATTGAACCTCCATGTTCAGAATTTTATACCTGTCACTACTTTATCATGGGATGAATACGATGATGTCTTTATGCCATTTGTAAGCTTTCTGCGGGACGCGGATGGCACTCTGGGTTAAACCACAGAGCATAGGACTTGCCGATCAGAAGGTCGGCGGTTCGAATCCCCGCGATGGGGTGAGCTCCCGTTGCTTGGTCCCTGCTCCTGCCAACCTAGCAGCTTGAAAGCACGTCAAAGTGCAAGTAGATAAATAGGTACCGCTCCGGCGGGAAGGTAACGGCATTTCCATGCACTGCTCTGGTTTGCCAGAAGCGGCTTAGTCATGCTGGCCGCATGACCCGGAAGCTGTACGCCAGCTCCCTCGGCCAATATAGCGAGATGAGCGCCGCAACCCCAGAGTCGGTCACGACTGGACCTAATGGTCAAGGGTCCCTTTACCTAAGCTTTCTGCAGATGATGATGTTGAAAACTGAGTAATGCAGTAGAAGGCAACAAGTTGTCTTACTTAAGACCAAGAAAACGAGTCAATGGCAGAGGTAGGATTTCAGCCCTAAAATGAAACACCCAAAATAAATGAGTCGTTTCAAATGCTTTCAGGGTGCACTGGAACTCAAACCATGGTGTGCACACTGGTGCCCTTGGGTTGAATCATTCAAAACTGTAGGGTGGTGGAAGAGGAAGGGCAACATTGTTCTCCTGACCTACAACATTGCTTCCCCCATCTCGCCCCCTCTTTCCTTGAGGAGGAAACTACTGGATTCTGACTTTGAATGGCTCCAACTATCTTGGTTTGTCAACCTGTTTAGAGCTGTAAAATGCATGGAAACCTGAAAGCCATAGGGTAAAAATTTTACATTTCTCCACAGAAAAAAAATACCCCCAGAAAGATTGGAATATATGCCATATATGCAATACTCATCACACACTTAGATATGCTTACTCAGAAGTAAGGTCCACAGTGTTCACTAGTAAGTGTGCTTAGGATTGTTTGCTTATTTACAAACCCAAACTTACTACAAGTACATGAAATGTTTCGTAGTATTGTACTGTTAGGTATTTCATGAAATATAAAAGTATAAATGCTATAGTTTTATTCAAACAATGATAAAATATGCCTAGCATTAGTGATAGACTACAAGCTTCTGTGCCCTATGGTCCCCAATTAGGTAAAGGTAAAGGGACCCCTGACCATTAGGTTCAGTCGTGGCCGACTCGGGGGTTGCAACGCTCATCTTTCTTTATTGGCCGAGGGAGCCGGCGTACAGCTTCTGGGTCATGTGGCCAGCATGACTAAGCCGCTTCTGGCAAACCAGAGCAGCGCATGGAAACGCTGTTTACCTTCCCGCCGGAGTGGTACCTATTTATCTACTTGCACTTTGACGTGCTTTCGAACTGCTAGGTTGGCAGGAGCAGGGACCGAGCAACAGGAGCTTACTCCATCGCGGGAATTCGAACCGCCGACCTTCTGATCAGCAAGTCCTAGGCTCTGTGGTTTCACTCACAGCGCCACCCGCGTCCCTTCATGGTCCCCAATTAGTTTTTGCCAGTTGGTACAGCTGGGAGAAAGAAAGAAAGCTGAATATCAAAATAAACATACTAGTAAACAAAGGCAGGTTTTAGTATCTAGGCTTAAAAACAATAGATAATTATCACTATCATATAAAAACAGAAGAAACTTGGGGTGGTTAAAAGTGAAGAGATTTATGAAAGCAACATTCATTGTAATAAAATTACAATAAATTCTGCAATAAAATAATGGTAATAAATTTAAATATTTATTAAAAAGTAATTACTCCTTTCAGTTATGATCTCATCTGGTGAGTGCTGACTGGATTATAGCTAAAGTTGTCCAATGTTTCTGATTATTTTTTTCCTGCCCCCTCCCCAAACTTTCACACTTGCTAGTTTCCCTGTTTGCTTGGTTCTTTGCTTTCATTTTTTTAAAAAAACTTTTCATAAAGTTGGAGGCTGTCACAGAAAAGGCCTTGAGAGCCAGTGTGGTGTAGTGGTTAAGAGTGGTAGACTCGTAATCTGGGGAACCGGGTTCGCGTCTCCGCTCCTCCACATGCAGCTGCTGGGTGACCTTGGGCCAGTCACACTTCTCTGAAGTCTCTCAGCCCCACTCACCTCACAGAGTGTTTTGTTGTGGGGGAGGAAGGGAAAGGAGAATGTTAGCCGCTTTGAGACTCCTTAGGATAGTGATAAAGCAGGATATCAAATCCAAACTCCTCTTGTTGTTGTTATGGATCTCCATCAATCTTCCCTAACCAAAGGATGCTAAGAAGCTGTCCAAAGTATGTCACAATTCATATAACAAGTCGGAGGATAGCTGGCAAAGGTGCAACAAAGGTGGGATGCAGTTCTGGTTAAATGATGGCAAAGTATAACAGGGTGGGAGTGGGGTAAATTGGATTTAAAGTATATCATCCTTAAGCAAAATACCATTCACTATTTGTAAGGAGTAGGATGGCTAATGCACATGTAGGTGTTTCCTGATATAAGTACATCTCCCGTTTAATGTCAGAAGAGCCAAAAATTGTTTCCATGCCTTAGAAGCAGCTGGGCCTTATGAAGATTTTAACACACCACCATGACAAAAGTGTCTTTGTTCATAGGGAAAGAACATATGTTTTTTAAAAAAAAAAGTCTTTGAGGCCTTACCAGTAATGGAACAATTTTTAAAATGGTAGAAATGGAATGAAGCACATTTCATTTTGAACAAAGTATATTTACCGTATTTTTCGCCCTATAGGACGCACCGGCCCATAGGACGCACCTAGTTTTCAGGGGGGGAAATCAAGTAAAAAAATTTGATCCCCCCCCGCAGCTCTGGGAGCAGTGGACACGCTGCACGCAGCCTGTGCGCTACTCCAAGACCTTCTCCCTGCTTTTGTGGGAGGTGGCGGAATTCCCCCACCTCCCGCAAAAGCCCACAGGAGCCCAGCGTGACTCCTGCGAGCTTTTCAACCAGGAGGGAGAAGGGACTGAAACGGCCAGTGAGTCCCTTCTCCCTCCTCGAGGAAAAGCCCCCAAGAGCGGTGCGCTCTTTAAAGGGTGCGCGGCTCCTGCGGGCTTTTCTAGGAGGTGGGGGAATTCCCCCCCCCTCGTAGAAAAGCCAGCAGAAGCCACGGAGCCCCTTTAAAGAGCACGCGGCTTTTGCCTGCTTTTACAGGAGGTGGGGGAATTCCCCCATCTCCTGCAAAAGCCCACAGGAAGGTTGGAGAGTAGCGGGAAGGCGTTGCGCGCCTTCCTGCTGCCCCCCATCCTCTGGGGTGGGCAATGGGGGGAGCGCTGCTTTCCCCACCGCAGGCTTCGGAGGCTTCGCGTTGCTATCACTGAAGCCAAGGAGCCTGCATTCGCCCCATAAGACACACACACATTTCCCCTTCATTTTTGGAGGGGAAAAGTGCGTCTTATAGGGCGAAAAATACGGTAAATTGTTTTTCTTTAATGTTAAATACCTCTACTAAAATAAAAAAGGGATGCGGGTGGTGCTGTGGGTTAAACCTCAGCGCCTAGGACTTGCCGATCGCATGGTCGGCGGTTTGAATCCCCGTGGTGGGGTGAGCTCCTGTTGTTCGGTCCCAGCTCCTGCCCACCTAGCAATTCGAAAGCACCCATAAGTGCAAGTAGATAAATAGGTAGGTACCGCTGTATAGCGGGAAGGTAAACGGCGTTTCCGTGTGCTGCTCTGGTGCCGGTTTGCCGGAGCAGCTTGTCACGCTGGCCACGTGACCCGGAAGTGTCTGCGGACAGCGCTGGCTCCCGGCCTATAGAGTGAGATGAGCGCACAACCCTAGAGTCTGTCAAGACTGGCCCGTACGGGCAGGGGTACCTTTACCTTTTTACCTTAAAATCGAAAGCACAAGTTGTGCTTCCAGAATATTTGATGCTTAGTCCAAATGTGTGTATGTGTCTTAATTTTCTTGGATTAAGAGAAGCATTTTTGTTTTGCCCTGTTTGGAATTATTGATTCAACAACTCAAGGAGAGGTTCAGAATGTGATCTTATTTTCAGTCTTATTGGAAACTGATACTTTATTTAAGAAAGTATTTCTTTTAATTGTATTATTGTTGGATAAATTAATAGAAATCATGACAGACTTTATAGAACTATTTCACAGAGGAAACACCATGAATACATTACAAATATTTTTTCCAAGTTGGGTGTGACAGGAAAATAGGATCCTTGTTTGATGTTTTAGGTGCCAAGTTAAAAACTTAAGATGTAGTAAAATTCTAAAAAATCATATTTATAAGAGTTTGTTTGAAATGCAGTTCAAATACTGGTTCTGAATGTTCTTGATAGCCTGTATTGGCTACTGACAATTTCACTTTGTTCGCTTTTCTTTCATGTCTGATTACCACAAAATGTACCTGTATTTGAGATCCTTACACTTCTGATAATTTATGATAATATCGCATATAAAACAGGTAACAGAAGCATAGTGTCCAGATCAAGGAAAACAATTGTTCTGCTCTGTGCTATCCTGGCCACATCTAGTGCTGGACATTTAAAGACTGATATTGTTAAACTGAAACATGTCCTGAGGAATATGATCAAAATGGTGGGGGGTATGGATGGAAACCAAGGCCTATCCTATGAGGAGCTATTGAAAGAGTTGGTTTTACTGAGCCTTTATAAAAGAAGAGTAAGGGGAGACATGATAGTAACCTTCACATATCCGAAGGGCTGTCACATAGAAGATAGACCAGATTAATTTTCTGTTGCTCTGGAAAAACAGTGGGTCGAAGTGGCAGGGAAGCAGGCTTCAGGTAAGTGTTTGGAGAAACTTGGGCAGGGGGCAGCCTGCTTCAGTAGGTGGTGGGCACTCCTTTGCTGGATGTATTTAAGTGGAAGTTAGATAACTGTCAAAGCTGCTGCTGTTGCTTCCTGCACTGTAGATCTTGCACAACAGGAGATTGGACTAGAGAGCTTCCAATATCTCTTTAAACTTTGATTTTGTGGTTAATTCATTATACAAAGGGCTAATGTTTAAAACACTAAAGGATAAAAATTGATGTAATCATAATTCTAAAAATAAAAAACTCCACAGCAGATCCCTCAGCTGTGGTGTAAGTCTGCTTTCTTCCTGGCTTTGCAGTTTGACAAATGTACATGCATCCAGCACTGCTTCAGCTGTTACCCCTTTTTCTTCACCAATGCTTAAGGCAGGTTGCCTGTCCTTCACTGAACATTTGTAAAGTGTCATGTAAAATGCTTATACATATTTACATTCGTCTCTTAGCTTGGAAATAAAAAGAAGCTTTTTAAATTATGCAGTACTACTCTGGAAATTAAGTGGTGAAGGCTTCTTGGTGACCTGTTGGATGCCATCAATCAGTGCTTTCCATGACCAGCTTCTGCTGCAAACTTGCAGAATTTATTACTATTTTTTAAAACTTCCAGGAAGAGGAAGGGTAGTTTGCTTTGAATGCAGTAAAAACGCTTGCAGATCAGCCCCAGTATGTTAATTGCATTTATTTATGTAAATTCTATACTGCCCTTTGATGTCAGTTTTCAGGGCAGTTTACAGATAAAAATGTGAATGCAAAAAATAAATTAAAACGTCAAAAACAGCAGTTAAAATTAGCAATAAGTACTTTGAAAAGCCTTTTTTTAAAGCATAGGAAGGGGGGAAATGACATGTAGGAGAACCCTGTGTTGCAGCTTATCACTGTTATCAGCACTGCCCCTCCTGGAACTAGAGCAGCACAGGTGTGGAGAGCAGCGACAGCATTGGCTCCTCCCAAGTGGCCCAGGTCATCTTCTATACATTTTTGCATAATGGGAATGAGCCAAATTATGAAGGCAGTGTGAAAAGGAGCCATTACAGTAGTATAAATGTGTGCGCACATGTGCACACACAGTCAGAAATGTTCAAGTGACATAGTAAGCTTCTCAAATGATGAAGATTTAAAGATTTTCACTAATCTCGACTCACAACAGAGATATCTATTTATGGTTCAGTGCACATCTGTGACTATGAGTAGCTTAAGAGATATCAGGACTGAGATTCAAATATGTGTGCTTTCCAAAACATCTGCTGTCATGATGTGGATTAACGCATACTTTAAACGCTTATGTATGTGCTTGGTGAGTAGCATCTATTAGGCCCTGTTTTTGTATTGACCCAGGATGCCTCCTCAGCCTTTGCTTATTCTCTTATCCAAACCACTGTAGACGTGTCATGTTTTTGCACTTTCATAACTCAATCCATGGGATGAAAAACTGGAAAGTATCTACAGTACATTTCCCCTTTGGAGCCTAATATTAGTCAGGACCTGGTAGTGCTACATGATATGGGTGAAAGGTTGTATTAAGAAAGATTGCAGTACAAGGCAAAGCGATCGAGGGAGGCGCTGTGGTCCATCACCCTAGTACCCAGTGTTATATTGATCTCATAGCCTATCTAGTTCTTGACTGCTGCTATAGATTTAAAGCCTCAGGCAAACCAGGGCCATGTGCAATGCTGTGCTGATTGCTTTTTTACATTTTTTTAAAAATGCAGCATGTTTTTCTGCTGGTGGGTAGAGTGAGATATTAAATTCTATTTACTTGAGAAAAAGCTGGCTGTTTAGCCTCATCAACAGGCACTTTGGCCATGATGAAGCAATATGGGCATATAAGATCATAAAAGAATAAAAATTCCAGATCCAAGAGTGGAAAGGCTTATAAACTGGCAAGACATAAAGCTTTTATTAGCCCGCTGATATCCCTAATTGATATAAACATGAAGCTCAGCACAGGCCCCAGTACTTAGAAGATATGCATCTAAATAATATTTAAATGGATATTCACAGTTTAAAGCCCACAGGAGGGTGATTGTACTTGTTTTAATTAAATGAGCTGAACCCCCCTGGATAACGGTGCATTATTCCTCCCAAATAGAATAGTATTTGTGCATAAGATTTTTTCTGCTTGGCTGGGACAGTAAAAAGCCAAATGCTAGTACTGTACTGAGATCCATGAGATTTGACCTTGTATCACTGGTATTTTTGTATATTGTTATCTCTGCTTATGTGACCTTCTGGCAGCTGATCCGAGGAACAGACACCTTACCCACTTGGTGTGCAATTTCTGTTGGGGAAGTGCAATGCTGCTGTCTGCTCAGCTGTAAGCCCAAACTATTGCAAGCCCAGGCTGTTGATTGATCTGCAATAGGTGAGAATTGAACAGTGTTATGGTCACCACACTGTCGCTGAGAGGGAGGCAGCTGCTACCAGGAAAGTGTGTCTTCATGACAGACTGGTTTCATTGAAACCACAGCTGTCTGTCTTGTCTATGAGGAGAAAGGGAAATAAAGAACTTCACAGGCAGGAAGTACTTACAGGACATGGAAGTCCAGAGGAAGATGGACCGGTGAACACTGGACAACTTTTATCTGGTCCCTGGTAAGACCCTGGAGGGCTAGTAAGTGATACTGGAGTAATTTTACAGAGAAGGTGTGAGGTTTCAGAAAGCCTCCCCCTGGGAGAGCAATAAGGGCAAGAGGTGTATGAGAGAGGATGGAGGGTAGTGTCAATAGGGAGTAGAGAAATGCGAGGTCAAGAGGAGAAGAGAAGCGAGAGACAAAGGCTATCCCATGGGTGTTCTACCCCATGCTTGCTGACTTGGGGCAGGCCGAGGACACCAGCAGCCTAATTATTATTTATATCCCATATTTTCCGCTGAATTCGGTCTAGACAGAAACGACATCTGGGTGGATAATCAGAGAAGCCTGTGAAGCTAGGATTGGAGACAGCTGTCATCACTGAGTACAAATTCAATACCCCTACCTATCAGAAAGCAGGTTGAGCTTCTGCTTGTCCCAGAGCCAGAGAACCCACTTACCTGGGATCCTGAAGTTCCTCCATAACTCTCCCTTCCCTGAGAGTAATGGTGCTAATATGATAACTTACCAGATTCTGAAACCAGTGCTGGAACTTGAGGAGGAAACAAACAAACACAGTAAAGCAGTGGTGCTGTGAACTCCTGCCCCCAGACCCTTTCACATATATTGTTTATTGGTTGGTTGAATATAAAATAAACACTTGATTAGTTAAGTGATTGAACAAGACTACTGTAATGTGGCCTAGTTGCTATTGGGCCATAAACCTCAATATATCTGCCTTCCTACCTCCTAAGGCCCTCAGA